TTTCCCTCCAGAAGAAGAGTGCTGAATAGTCAGCTGGAATAAGTTATACAGTGTAAAACATTATTAACAATTAGCCGAACCAAAAACAAAAACAAAAACCCTCAAACTTACAGACAGCCAGAAAATATAAGCCAAGGGAAACACAATCCGAATGTAGAGTCTGCCAATAAGCTTCACCTTGCCGGCCCCGATGCTCCACCCAAATCCTTCCCCTTTGGAACTTATTTCTACTGAGACCATTTTTCTGTGCCACAAATAAAACTAGATGTTGCTAGGAAACAGCCCAGATTCTCAGGACACAACTGAAGGGGAGCAGCTGCTTCCTACCAAGAGGTACAGAAATCTGAAGCTATTTCCGACATGCATGCTACTGTTACGAAACCTACATTTTCCACACATCTATTTCACAGAATTCAAGAACGGTTTAGCCAGAACAGCCTTCAATCTATGACATAACTATGACCCTGAAACTCTTTCCCCCGCCCTAGTCCTGCATTTTTTTCTTTTCTTTCAGGTCTTCTCCCGATGTATCATCTCACCTATCTTCATTAAAAAATGACAAACTAACATATTTCCAAGTTACTAATTAGTCACTGAAAGACCCTCCGTTACATTATTAGTCCTACTATGCTCTTGACCATTTCCACATGACTTGGAGTTGCTGTTTTCAAATAACAAGTTTATTTCTTTTCAAAACAAGCTGGTGGTGTTCACCTATGTTAAAGCTTCCACAAAGCAGTGACCACCGAAGCAGCCCTCTCCTCTTGGTCCTGCCTTTAAAGGCAGCTGTCATCTCTCTTTTCCCTTCCTCGTCTGTCTTCAGATCCACCCCAGCAGCTCACTGGGGAATAACTGCCAGTCCAAGACAGCCTCACTGAGGATAGAGAGTGGAGGACTCACACGTGCGTAGCAAGAACTTTGAAGTGCCAGGAGCTCCGTCTAACTTTCTCTTCTGTCGTCCACAGCTTTTAATCTTCCTGATTGTCACCTCATGACCGCTTTATAGATGCAAGATATTACAACCTTCTACCAGAGTCCCAAGTACAAGAGAAGGGGAAGTTTAAAGACTCCTACTTCCTGACGCTCTGGCTTTTCATTGTAGAAGGAAGTTCACCAAAGTCTTCCCCTTACATCTCTCTCACTGGCCAAACTAGGTCACGTGCCCACTCCTGGACAACTCACTAGTCAGATTACCACACAGAGTTAGACCTTTCCAGAGTGTGAGCACGGCCTACCTGCCTGAGGTCAACAGCTGGCTGCCCACACCTTGACCCCAGCAGGAAAAAGGGATCAGGAAATGGGTGTCAGTTAAAGACCACAGTGCTGCTCCTCATTCTTCTCCAAGTGGGACGGCCAAGTCCCCACAGAAGTGAGGCTGTCTCCAGGGCAGCTTGCCAGGGCCTCAAGCAAGAAATGGCTACCTCTGCATTAAGGTTTCTTTTCACTCACACTGAGACCCCAGATAAGCAAGTCTTTCTGGCTGGCAAAGCCATGGCCCTGACACTATATAAATGAGCCATAGTTAGTATTTTAGATGCTAGGACCCTTCCATGCCTTTTAAACCCACTCATTATAGAAGACCCACTAAAACCAACAACATGCCTGAGAACACCAAGTACCTCATTCTACCTGTGTGGTATTTTTATTTGTAAATGCTACTCTGTATCTGTCCTGGCCCCTTGAGAGGTCTGAGGGAGCCAGTTCCTCACCCCTCTCCCCTGCCAGGGATCGTAAACTATTAGAAAACACACTAAGAAGAACAGACAAACAGACAGGACTCCAAGTATCATTTATTATTTATTTGGAGTTCTCTGAAAATAGCTAGATGGGGAAATTAAGTGGAACCTCTTACTGCCTACCCTAAGTCAAAAGCATGGGCAGAACTTCTGCTTCAGGACACACTGAAGTCATTAGTTCCAGACTAGCCTTCCTAATGGAAACTATAAAAGGAAGAGGCAGTGGTTTCTAAATATTGTCTCACAGGTGGTGTAAGACTAAAATCCTAGGGAGAAGAGAAACTTACGAGGTGACTCTATGGCCACTCAGATCTTGGCCAGGGGTGCAGTGTAGGGAACGAGGGTCCACGGCTGTTCTGATGAGCTGAGGAGGCAGCAATCTCCAGGCAGAGCACTGGAAAGAGTTATGGAGAAGCGAAGGCCAAAAGCCCACGTGTGGATCCCCCACGGGGCTTTGGCTGAAATATGGGCCATGTACGTGCAGGGTAAGACTTTCTAGACAGTGGCTGCTACGGGGCCGAGAGGTGAATGGAGATAGCAGAGGCCGGGCCGTGCTGGAGAACACTGCAGTGACAGCCCAGCCAGAGCAAAGAGACCTGTTTAACGTTGCATGCATCCCGCTGAGAAATCAGAAATGCCCCTACTTAAGGATAAGTACACAGTCCTGGAGTCAGGCCTGCTGTAGACCCACCTAACAAAGCCCAAAACCAAGCCCCAGCAAAGTCCACAGGACACCAAACCTAGAGGCTGAGTGCCATCAAGTTAGAAGTGCTGGCGAACCACAGTGGGCTTGCCACTAGTCCATCTTAACAAAATATAAAATCGTACCTACCACATTCAAGGAAATAAATCTGCCTACTAGAATAAAAATTAGCATTAAAACAAAAATCATCCCTCAGAACTCAGGCTTTCTACAATACAGAATCTTCAATGTCCAGTGTAAAATCAAAAATTGTGCTAGATATGCAGAGAAACAAGAAAATGGGACCACAACCTTGTAGAACTACATGAAATGATTTAACATATGTGTAATTAAAGTCCAAGAAAAAGAAGTGAAAACATAGAAAAAACATTTGAATAAACAATGGCCAAAAAATCCCAACTTTCATCAAAAACATTTACTTACAAAGCTCAGAGAATTCCAACCAGGATAAATTTTAAAAAATTTTTTTAATTCACACTTAGGTACATTGTAGACAAACTGCTAAAAATCAGGATAAAGAGAAAATGTTGAAAGTAGCCAAAGAAGGAAAAAGTCATTTAAATGCAGGGGAGTAAAAACGGAATGATGATACATGAGAAACATACAGAAGCATCTTGAAATAAACTGAAGAGGAGTTAGAGCTAGCACTTTTCAAGAGGTTTAGTTCCTAATTCTACTTTCCTAGATAAATCCTTAGACTGATTCAAGATTTAGAACTCCACCTCTATTTCTGCCTCTAGAAAATTAAACATAAGAACATGAAGATTTTGTGGCCTTGGTCATTCAGAGATAGGATGAACTTGGCTATGAATTCCTTCGTTCCTTCTGGATTAACTCTAGATGGAGAAATACAACAAGTGGGTTGGGGCAACAGAAAGAAAGGTGGGGGAAAGTATGAAGTAACAGGAGTCGGTGCCTGAAGTGATTCTAGCATCTTACAGATTAAGTCGTTCATACAGAAATCACCCCATATGGAAAAGATAAAATGGATTATGTCCAAAGGAAATATCACATAAAAAGCATTTAAGAAAAAAACACAGTCTGCTCTTTGCAGTCTCATATTAAGCATTACAAAATCTAAAATGAGATGAAAGGAAAAAGTATCGTAAGAAAAGTGAAAAGAAAAAAGCTTATGGAATCCAAAAGGGTGAAACTATAGCAAAACCAAAAGGGTTTCTTCAAAACAGTAAGATATTTCGTGAACATAATAGATATTGAATATAAAAATATAATTTTTAAATCACGGGACATCTTCACTTTGAATATACATTTAACACACTTGGGGGAAATACTGAACTCTGCAGACCTTCCCCTCTTTTGTTGTCATTAGAAGAAAAAAACTTCACTGATGTTCTCTTTGCCATTTTAGGTTACTTGCTATCCAGCTAGATTAAACATTAAGAGATATAAAAGCAAATACAAAGTGATTAATGTAAAATTCCTTGTTGCAGAGCAACATAAAGTGTAATGGGTTTAACATTCTAATACAATTTCAGCAAGGATGTCACTTTCCCTCAAACCACGGATTCTCGACTGTGGCACTGCTGACATTGGGGACAGATAACTCTTTGTTGGGAGGGGCTGTCCTGTGCATGTCAGGATATTTAGGGGCAGCCCTGGACCCCTTTTCCCCCACCGAGTCGTGCCCACCGAACACATCTCCAGACCTTGCTGAGTGTCCCGTAGGGAGAAAACCGCCCTGGCTGAGAAGCACTGCCGGAAATAGGTCTGTCCCCCCAACTGGTTTATTTAAAAACAAAGAAACATGCTTGATTTATAATCCACATCAAAAGCAACAATGTCTTTCTAATAAAATAACTGATGTCATTTTTTTTCAATTCCCTTCATTCAGTGAACAACTTCTCTAACTTGGGGGAATGTTAGATTTTATTGTCATTTGATTTATATTTTCATTGTGGCTGGTTCATAAGTGTTGACCTTTGTTTTCAATTAAAGCAGACTTTACATTTTCTGGGATACGTTATTCATCATTCACCTACCTATGGAGACAACTTACCTAAAGAGAGCCGGGACACTTACTAAAACAAATAGCAACCTCTTTCTAAGTCATGCATTGGAAGAATATGACTTTCTTCACCAAATTGATCTAGGACACATCAAAGATTCCGAAATGATACTTTAGACTGAAAGTTGTTAATAAAATTCAACCTTCAGAAAATACAGGACATTTTTTTCAGATCAGTTATCTAAATCTAGGAATCTTTTTCATCAGTGTAAAAACCATTCATAAATGCCAACAGCCATCTCTTTCCAATATGGAACTATTGATCAAGAGCAATGTGAAGTTTTGGAAAGAAAATACTGTGAAGTCTGCAGGTTCTGGCATTTAATTGAGGTAGAGATGTATCCGCAGAATTCACATCAGCAAAGGTATTTATAATTGTCCTTCCCCCACTCAAAAGGGAAGAAAGAAATCCCAGAATCTTGCTGTTTTTAGTTATATATGTGAGGGTTTTTTTACAGGAGAAATACAGAACAGTATAAAGTCAAAGAAAAATGCAGGCTCGCAGCCACAAGCAAGTCCATTGCGTTTGACTCACCTATGTGATAAAGTCCAATCCAGTCACTGGGGTCCACCTCCTCTTTAATGTCCCAGAAGATAATGAGGTTCTGGGCTTGCCCCAGCGTGTACTCGTACATGCTGGCGGTCAGGCTGGAGCGGCTCTCAGAGGTCACCAGGTCCGTGTCACTGTTGGCCCGCTGCAGGGTCATGTTCTCTGGCCTGGAGCTCTGGGCGGCCAGGCTCTGCAGGTTCTCGGGGCTCAGCGTGTAGCGCATCTGGGGGTTGCGGCGCCGCACGAAGAGCAGGTGCTCCCGGGCTGAGCTGGCCATCCCGTCGGCCTCTCTGAGGTTGGCTTCCTACAAAGCTGCAAGACAAGACAAGCACACAGCATTAGTGCTGCAACACAAGGAATTAGGTTTAAGCCTCCCAGATATAAAACCTTGACGAGGGTCTATTAAAGCCTGACCATGCAATAATCTCCCACTGTCAAAATAAAACCTCTTATTCTGCTGTCAACTGCTGATGACAGAAACAACTGAGGTCAGACAGTGGCCAAGGCCATCACAACAAGCCTGTGGCCCTCGATTTCACTCAGCACAGCTTCCTTCTAGGAAGTAAAAAAGACGAGGATTTCTCTACCATCCCTTTTAGGTCTATCCTTTTTTCTTCAGAAATGGCACTCTCTTCTCCGTCATCCCGCCTCCCAACACACAATTATTTGCTGCTGCCATTAAATTTTAAAATAGCAAGACAAAAAATTTTGACACGTGCAAAACAGAGTTAAAATATTCCACTCAGGACAAGTTCATTTGCTCAGTTTCCTTTACATAGGAATGCAATTCACTAAAGTCTTTTTCAGGAGCTCCTCTTTTAACTGCAGTGACTGTCACAGTTAAAATTACAACATCCAACTATGCTCTATCCCTCCTTTCTTTTTTTAAAATATATTTTATTGATTATGCTATTATAGTTGTCCCATTTCCCCCCTTCATTTACCTCTACCCTGCACACCCCCTCCCACCCACATTCCCCCCTTTAGTTCATGTCCATGTGTCACGTTCTTAAACTTCTACATTTCCCACACTACTCTTGCCCTCCCCCTGTCTATTTTCTCCCCACCATCTATGCTACTTATTCTCTGTACCTTCTCCCCCTCTCTCCTCCTCCCACTCCCCTGTTGCTAACCCTCCATGTGATCTCCACTTCTGTGGCTCCACTCCTGATCTAGCTATCCGCTTAGTTTGCTTTTGCTTTAGGTGTGGTTGTTAATAACTGTAAGTCTGCTGTCCTTTCACTGTTCATATTTTTATCTTCTTTGTCTTAGATAAGTCCTTTTAACATTTCATATAATAATGGCTTGGTGATGATGAACTCTTTGAATTTGACCTTATCTGAGAAGCACTTTATCTGCCCTTCCATTGTAAATGAAAGCCTTGCTGGGTAGAGCAATCTTGGATGTAGGTCTTTGGATTTCATGACTTGGAATACTTCTTTCCAGCCCCTTCTTGCCTACAAGGTCTCTTTTGAGAAGTCAGCTGACAGTCTGATAGGAACTCCTTTGTAGGTAATTGTCTCCTTATCTCTTACTGCTTCTAGGATTCTCTCCTTCATTTTAATCTTGGTTAATATAATTATGATGTGCCTTGGTGCATTCCTCTTTGGGTCTACTTTCTTTAGGACTCTCTGAGCTTCCTGGATTTCCTGGCAGTCTGTTTCCTTTGCCAGATTGGGGAGGTTCTTTATTATTTGTTCAAATAAGTTTTCCACTTGTTGCTCTTCCTCTTCTCCTTCTAGCACCCCTATAATTTGGATGTTGGAATGTTTGGAGATGTCCTGGAGGTTCCTAAGCCTCTCATTTTTTTGAATTCTTGTTTCTTCATTCTTTTCTGTTTGGTTGTTTCCTTCTTCCTTCTGGTCCACTCCATTGATGTGAGTCCCAGTTCTCTTTCCATCACTATTCGTTCCTGGTGCATTTTGCTTCATTTCACTTAGTGTAGCCTTCATTTGGTCATCTAATTTGCAACCAAAATCAACCAGTTCTGTGAGCATCCTGCTCACCAGTATTTTGAACTGTGCATCTTAGAGGTTGGCTATCTCTTGGTCACTTAAAAGTATTGGCTCTAGGGCTTTGATTTGTTCTTCTGTTTAAGCCATAATTTTTTGGTCAGGATGCACCTGTTAGGTATGAGGGGTGGAGCCTCAGGTGTTCACCAAGGAGGGGCAATCCAGTCTCTGGGTTGTGATGCTGCATGTGGGGGCAGGGTCAGAGAGGGAACAATGGCATTTGCTTTGCTCTGCTCTCTCTCGGATTTCAGTCCCCTCTGCCGCTTCCCAAAAGCAAATTGGGCCCTTCTGGTGCTGGTTCCTGGGTGGGTGGACTTGTGTACATTCTAGGATCCTGTGGGTTTCTCCAATGAACTCTCCTGTGAAGCTGGGAGTCTCTCCCAGCACCTCAACCCCTGAAAGTTTTTCCAATTGGTTCTTTTAGGCTTTATTTCTTGTTCCTGGGGCCCTGAGTTGCACGGTCTGTCTCACTGCCTGTTTTTGTCTGGTTTATCAGCACACAAATGAGCATCCGCAGTCAGCCAGACACCTTGTGCACCTCACTGGGTTTGCTCGCTTCCTCCCTGTGCCCAGGTCTGCCAACCACCTCCTTTTCCTGCCAGGACCCCTCTCAGCAGGCCTCGGACTCCACCCCTCTTACCGGTCTGTATGAATGGTTCATTGTCAGACTTCTGTACAGTTCAACTTTCTGTCTGTTCTGGTTGTGTTTTTGTTTCTAAATCTTTGTTGTCTTTAAATTTGGTTGTGCGAGAAGGCACAGTATTTCCACCTACACCTCCGTCTTGGCCGAAGTCCTCCCCATCCCTCCTTTCTTGCTTGCTTTTCCTTTCAATAGCAATTTTTATGATCTGATGCAACACATAGTACCACATACTTATTTATTTGATTATTGTGTACTTTCCCCACAAGAATATAAACTTGGGGAAAGACAGTCTCTTCAATAAGCTAAAACCAAATTTAAAACTTGAACATGGAGCTGAAACCATAAAACTCCTATTAGAAAATACATGCAATAAACACCCTGACATTGGTTTTGGCAATGATAGTTTGGATTTGACACCAAAATAAAGGCAACAAAAGTAAAAATAAACAAGTGGGGCTAGTCCAACCAAAAAGGCTCTGCACAGCAAAGGAAACAATTATCAAAATGAAAAGGCAAACTGTGGAAGAGCAGAAGATATTTGCAAATCATGACTCTAATAATGGGTTAATTTCCAAAATATAATTTTTAAAAATCATACAAGTCTGGTGCCAGGTAGGTACTGGGAATATAAGGGGAACAATTTCTAAAGTATATGATTATCTAACTACTATGCTATAAACCTGAAATTAAGACAAAATAATATTGGATATAAACTGTAACAAAAAAATTTTTAATCATACAATAGCAAAAAAATACAATAAAAATTGACAGAGGAACTAAATGGACATTTCTCCAAGAAGATATACAAATAACCAATAAGCACATGAAAAAGTGCTCAGACATCACTAATTATCAGGGAAATACATGTCAAAACTACAATGAGGTATCACTTCACACCTGTTAGAATGGCTGTCATCAATAAGACAAGTGGTGGTGAGGATGTGGAGAAAGGGGAACTGCTGGTGGGAATGTAAATGAGTAACACAGCTATGATGCAAACCAGTATGGCAGTGCTGGAAAATGAAAAGCAGCACTAGTCTATGATCCAGCAATTCCACTTCTGGGTATTTATCCAAAGGAAATAAAACCAGGATCAAAGAGCTCTCTGTAGCCCCACGCTCACTGCAGCAGTGTTCACAGTAAAGATATGATGACAACCTAAGCATCCATCAATTAATGAATGAATAAAGAGGTGGTATAGCAGGTCTGTCCAGAAGGTATCCAGCCATGTGATATGAAAAATAGAGACACTTATTGGAGAAGATACAAGATACAAGAAACACTGTACACAGGACAATGATGCCTCAGTCCCCTTCAAAGTAGGTACCTTGGAACCTCGCACAGTCCTCCCATTTGTCGTCAGCTACCCCATCACATTTTCTTGAATTTCATCAATTGTCTGAAATCTCTTCCATTTCAAAGGTGATGCTAGTTTTGGGAAAAGCCAGAAGTTGCAGGGTGCCAAATCTGGGCTGTAGTGGGGCTGAGTCACCTGGGTGATTTGCTGTTTTGCAAAAAAACTCTGCACAAGACATGATGCATGAGTGGGCACGTTGTCATAATGAAGCTGCCAAACACCACTTACCCATAGCTGTGTCCTTGTGAATCATCAAAATAAGTTTCCACAGAGGAATATTCAAGCTTAACACAAAATCTGATGCAGATTCGTTGCTCTGCTTGCTCAGTCATTTTGAATGCGCCAGTAGCCACATAATATATATGCTCACTCAACAGTGTCTACCACCCCCACTGACTAGTACAGTGAAGTCATCACTGTTCATGTATGCACATTCCAGCCCACTCTCCTGGGCTGCCAGGTTACACCAATGTTATGCAAACTATTCTCATTATATTAACAATGGCTGGACTTTTTCTGAATAGACCCTGTATATACATATATATGTATAAAATAAAATATGATTCATCTGTGAGAATGAAGGAACTCCTGCTAGTGGTGACAACATGGATAGACCTTGGGGCACTATGGTAAGTGAAATAAGCCAGAGAAAGACAAAAAAGAAAAAGGAAAAAGTCGGATTGCTAGAAACAGAGAGTAGAAGAGTGGTCACCAGTAACTGAGACATGAGACAAACAGGGAAAGGCTGGTGAAAGGATGCAAAACTTCAGCCACATGGTGAACAAGGTCTGAGGATCCAACATAAAGCATGGTGACTACAGCTGACAATACTGTGTGATATAACTGAAATTTGGTCAAAGAGTGGAACTTAAATGTTCTCACCAAAGAAAATATATGTGAGACGATGGGTATGCTCATTAACTAGACAGTAAAAATCCCTTAACAATGTACACATAAACATCACTGCAATGTGCACTTTAAATATCTTACAATATTATTTGCCAGTTACACCTTAATAAAGTTGAAAGAAAACAGGACTGTAAGCTGCACAGAGGCAGAGATTTTCATCTGTTTTGTTGACTATTTTACCCCCGGTGTCTACAACAATGCCTGGTACATGATAGGTATCGATAAGTAGTTGTTAAAAGCAACTTCTGTTATTTTAATAGGTAAATATTATAGTCACTGATTTAACACCTATGGCAGCAATGTTCAACCTGTGTGCCACAAGAACCTTTAGAACATGTGATACCTGACCATGCACTCAGGGGCACTGATCCCTTTTCCCTTAGGTGGTCAA